AGAGGATTGCAACTTTAGCCACTGGTTTGGAAAATTTTTTGAAGCATCCATTGTACTAGGGGCATGGGCAAAGAAATCTTGCAGAAAAGGGGAAAGAAACGTGATCCTACAGCCGTTGTGCAGCTCCAAATGCCACCATCGCAGTGGCCTGGTGAAGCATTTGCTTACACTTAAAACACATCTGCTCTGGAGCCTTGGCACTTGCTTGTTCCTGTGTTCTACAGCCAGGACATTAACAAAGCAATGTATGGAGGTACCTACACCCCAGCTGCCCCCACCAGCCAGTATCAGTTCCAGGAGCACACCCCATTACTATCAGACTTCATATATTCATATACATTTGTGAACATATATATATATATATATATATATATGAAAACTTCATACTTCATTTGCATCCACACACAAATATTACAGCCAAGACCTGCAGTTCTCTGCCTTTTCATACTGTTGAGCAAAGCCTAAGCTTTCACACATAGTAAAGTTTCACAGACTTATTTTTCAAGATTTGAAAAATACAATTTAGAAGTAGGTTTGGTCATCACTCAGGTGGTACAGGCAAACCTGGTTAAGCAGTACTCATCAACTGTATTGTGATGGAATGTCCAATGGCAGATTTCTTCAAATGAAAAATCTGGACAATTGAGAGGTATGCAGAAAACTTGTCTTAAATACTTGAAGCTACATGTGCAATCTTACAGAACACAAGCTACAGTTACAGACATAACAGTAAATCTTATTAACCAACAGTGCATAAGAACTTAAAAACAGTCAGTGAAATCAGTTCAGCCAGTGACTTCCAAAAAAGTCGTGCCTCAGCTGCATTGAGGGGGGAAGAAAAAAAAAAAGGGGGAGCAGGAAAACTCATTCTTAGGCATTTTTAACACAAGGTTTTAATCTACATTTTAAAAGCTGGTTTATTATATATTTATATATATATGCTATGTATAAAATAAATTAAAAAGGGGGAGGAGCAAATAACTTTGTATATGCTTCAAATTAACACAGACCAGTAGTTCCATAACTGAACATTTTACCATCTTTGTGGTAAAAAGTTGACATAAAAGTTCAAAACCATACAATGCTTATAAATAGAGTTTAAAAGATACATTTTTTTAAAAAAATGGAATTTAAACATCATTTTCACTTCCCCTACACTACACTTCAATTTTGTATGTCAGCATCAATACATTTACAGAGTATTTGAATGTCACATCCACAGAATCAGTAACAAAGCAGGTAAAAGCCAGTGGTGTTAAAATTTAGGACTTTTCTCCCAAATAACTCTACCTGCTCCTCAGCCTTCTCATGAAATGAAGGCTATCAACATTCATCACCCAGTTTGAGGTATGGGCAGAAGAAAATCTGCAACCGGTACTCTCCAACCCACCTTGCCTCTAATAAAATATAGCAACAATCTATTGATCTGGTAATTGGCAATGGTGGTGGACAATCTTTTACTTCCATTCAGCTTGTATATAATTTAATCCTGGTATTAAAAAAAAAAAAAAGAAACATAGTATTAATGCTTAACTTAAAAAACAAACAAACAAAAAAAACCACCAACATGAAAAAACCCACCAAAAACCCCCAACTTTAAATCTATGTTTAAATGTTGTTCCTGGTTTAAAGCTTCACATAAAACATTGGACAGAAGGATGACAGTTTTAAACCAAGAGAGCACCTAAAAATATACCATAGGTAAAAATGAAATCAATCATCCCTCCACTTCATAAAAATGTAGAAACTCTGTCAGCAACAGTAGTACACTCAGAACGAACAATGTCAAAAGGAGCATCTAGAGGCTTGCTATGCTACTTCTCTTTATTGCCCATTCTCTCATTTGTATGGATGGCCACTGCATGACAAGATGCCTGTGGATAGTTCTTTTCACCACTGCTGCCAGCTGAAGTCGTCATTGCTGCCAAAGACCAAGAAAAATCCCAGGATGGTGGCAAAGATGACTGTATTCCCAGTGAGAACGAGTGCACATGCACCCCAGTAAATCTGTGAACAGGGGGAATTCAGTTAGACACATTTGGAGCTGAACACTAACAAGACACTAGGTAACACCTTATTGTCCCATTGTCGACAAAGTTCAGTAACACTGAACCATGATGCAAGACGCAATATCTCATTATTTGCGGTCACACCAAGCAGGCTGGTGTAAATTACTTGACAAATTCACAGCCAGCCAAGCAGCACTGCAAGTTTCTTCTAGCTGTACTCAAAGCATTGGCTAGCAGGCACAACTGGTTTGGTATGCAAAGTAAGGCTAGACAACAGCATCAAACACATCTGCAGCCCAAGCCATGCTGTAAGACTTTTTATAACAGGTATTTAAGATCTTCAAAACGCCAGCAGATATCCCAGTAGCAAAAAAGGAGGTGGATGCTTTCACAGGAGAGTAAATGGATTACTCAGAGGGTGTGAGGCATTCCAACTGCACATTCCATAAGAAAGTGCACTCCATGTTTTTTGACTTGGTAGTGCTTTCTGAAATTCACACAAACAAAGTGAACTTTTAAAGTATTTTAGTGAAAAGCTGTATACTGGGAAATAAGTAATGAGAACTTGGAAATTTAAGAAAATTATACCAATATCACTTCAAATATAATTTATGGTGAGTATAAAAATGCTTTTTTTTGTTTGTTTATACATGCTGCTTTAGCCCAGCTATTCCACAAATTGTCTTTGAAGTATTCTTTACACTTCTATATTTGGTTACTTCCCTGTAAAGTTTTCACAGTATTTTCTGTCTCATTTTCTCTGCATTGTATTGTTAGGCTTTATTCCATGACCACGTAAAGCAATTGGCAATCACAATGTTCTGCCACACTTCCATTTCTGTATTGATTTTTCTTGCCAAAAAAAAAATCTTATTCTGGTTCCAAAAGTACATAATTATAAGTTATTTAGTGCATGAAAGCTTTACCTTCAATAAACAAACAAACACAAAGAACAAAGTTTTCTGGGAAGAAAAAAAGGCAATCACAGATTGAAATACTACTAACCAGTTCTGCTCTTGCAAACACTATGGGCAGCCCAAATGCTGAGACCACAATGCCTGTTGTAAGGAATATGGCCAGCTCCTTGCAGGCATTACTTGTAGCATCTGTGTCATCTACCAATCTTCTTGCTATGCAGTACGGGATAGGAGAGAGGATGTAAAAAAACAGAACAAACAGTGGCCAGTACTGGCTGAAAAAGAAAAGACAAGAAAAGTTTTAGTTAACTGGGTTTATTTCCTGCTCCTCCTAAAATCAATGCAAGGCATTTTCCCCACCAGCATTCCCATTTAGGAAAGACAGAAAAGCCCAGAGAAGCCAAATCCCTTACCTTGGAATGAACTGACCCTAATCTAACAGACCATGTGCGCGAGTGGTTTCAGCTGACCTCAGCAGCAGCGGAGTTCACCAACAGGATATTAACAAATCAAGATTTCACTAAGCAAGCCTAAATCTAATGCCACCTCACAAGGAGAGCTTAACTCCAAGTTTATCCTGCCAGTTGTACTCAAGAGATATCCTTGGAGCACCCCAGACTAGATTTCTCAGGCACACAAACACAGGTGCACATTGCTTCAATAAAACTTTACTGCATTGTTTGAAGGCAGCTGCATAAGGGTCTCCTTCCCAAGGGTGTCACTAGCACTGGTTTCATAACAAAAGAAAGCTGGCCTAGGAATTCTAGTCATATATGTAGAAACTGCAATTCACAACCAATAACAGGTCTATCAACAGGATACTTGGTATTTATTCAACAGCGAATAAGTAAATTTAAAATCTTTCCTGTATAGGCAGCATTCACTTGCAAAGAGTCAAAGCCGTAAGCCTTATTATCTGAGCACTTGGACTGCTACTTTGTATCTCCCGAAAACCAAGAGATAGGAATCGATGTCAGGAAAGTACAGACAGCAGCTGCAATTACTCGAGATGCTGTACTGCAAGTGTGGGGCACAGCCAAGGATGGCATGACAGTCACCGACAGCCCAGCTACCCCTAGGCAGCCACAGAAAAAGCCAATCCTTCCCCGGATAACCCACACCTGCTGCCCACCTCGGGAGATGCTGCTGTCTGATGGCCAGCCACAGCGGGACACCAGTCCAGACAGTCAGGGCAATGGATCCTTTCACGGTTTGCAGCCAGGTCTAGTGGCTTAACTTTTGCTCCTTTGCTCTTTAGGATTAATTAAATCCTGGATAGTCTATTTTTTTATTCCCACCACGATCTTCTGAATCAAAAGCCAAAAAAGCCCAACCAGCCAAAAAAAAAAAAAAAAAAAAAAAAAAAAAAAACAAACCAAAAAAAAAAAAAAAAAAAAAAGAAAAAAAAAAAACCACCACCAAAAAAAACCACCAAAAAACCCCACAAAAACCAGAAGCCCCTCCTACGCAGAGATAACTCATCAATCCACCATTATGGAAGCGGGACTCCTCTTAAGTTACAGCCGCAGGAAAAAGTAGAATAGAAAGAGTGCACGGTACTTGTATTGGGGCAGGGCGCATCCGAGCATCAAGAACATCAGTCCGACCGCTCCCCCAAAGGACAGGCTGATCAGCGCTACAACGAGAACAAACCCAAGCCACATGAAGGGGGCAAGGCACCGCGCACAGCACCGACCGCCCCCGCGGACCAGCGCGGGGCTCAGCGCAGCCCCAGCGGAGCTGGGACACTCGGGGTCCCGTGGCGGCTCCCGGCCGCTCCCGCCCGAGAGCCCGGCCGGCCCCTCCCCGCGCGCGCCCGCCGTTCCCGGCCGCGCCGCGCGCACCTTTGATTCCCGCCATGGCGCCGCCCGTCCCGCCAGCCGCGCGGCACCGCAGAGGCGCGCGCCGGAAGCCGGAAATGCCGCGCGGAAGCGGAAGCCGCTTCCGGCACGGGGCAGGGGCGTGCCCCGCCCCTCGCGGGCCGGCCCCGTGGCGCTCATACGTGGCGCGCGCAGGGCCCGCGGCGGCAGCCCCGCCCCCTCGCCGCCCATTGGCCCCACGGCGCGTTGGGGCGGGGCTTCCCCGCGCGTTCCGGCGCGAGCGCCGCCCCGGGCGGACGGCGGCGGCTCCCGGTGCTGCCATGGCCGGCCTCGCTCCGCGCCTGCTCCTCCTGCTCTGCGCCGCCGCGGGGCCCGCGCTGGGCTGGGACCGACCGGGTGAGACCCGCGGGGATAAGGGGGCTCAGCGCGGCCGCAGCCGCCCCTGCGCTCTCCGGGCGCGTTGGCGATTCCTCGCGGCCCGGCACCGCGCCGTGCCGCCGGTTAGCGGCGGCCGGCACGGGGAAAGAAGGGCTTGTGCCGGGGTCCGCGGCAGGAAGGTGTTGGGGTTCGGGCTCCCTCTAAACCGGCTCGTACGGCAGCAGCGATCCGCGCCGCGGTCTGCGGCGGTGTCTGCCTGCGAGGGGTAGCCCAGAGCCGCCTCGGACGGAGACGGGGAACCCTGCCATGTTTCCCTCCGGGCGGCTGGTGCTTCCTAGAGCTTCGACTCGTAAACGTGCAGGCTTACTGCTTCGGCCTCTGTCGCCAGCCTTCTCCTGAGAGGAGGCCCTGGTGGACAAGAGGAGTGCTCCTGCACAAGCTCTGACAAGCGGTAGGAAGAAGTTTTTCTCAGGAAGAGTGATCAAATATTGGAATCGGCTGCCCAGGATGGTGGTGGAGTCACCGTCCCTGAAGGTGTTTAGGGAAAAACTAGACGTGGCACTCTGTGCTGTGGTCTGGTTGACATGATAGGGTTCTTTGATCGAGGTTGGACTCGGTGATCACAGAGGTATTTCCCAGCGGAATGTGGGGAAGCAGACTGATGTTTTCATCGTTGGGGCAGTGTGTGAGTCTTTGTGCTGCCTGTTTCAGGGAAGGTTCTGCTGCGGGACGTTCAGGCACTCACTCTCCACCGAGGGCAATACACAACATCCAGGCGGACAGCTTCGATCCCTCAGCTGCAGTGCACAGGAGGCTCTGCGGGGTGTTCCCATGCCCCCGAGGTTGTTCAGTGTTACAACAAAGGATGGGATGGCTATGATGTACAGGTAACTATTTAAAACTTACTAAACTGTTTATGAAATCACTTTCCCTCAAGTTGGTAAATTCTGAAGGAGCAAAGAACAGTGAGCTAGGTTGTCAGTAAGATGCTTTTTGTTAAGATGAACTCTTGTGCTGAAACTTAACCTAAATACTTTTAGGTTTGGATTTTTGAGAACTACTACAGTTACGTGTTTGATCTGTCTTTGAAGGAGCTAATGTAAAAGTATGACCTTGGTTGGTTTTAAATAAAATGGTGCTCAAGTTTATAAAATCAAACTCTTGCAAACTCCAGAGGATACTTTTTAATTATTATTGCTGTGTGAATTTGCATTTTTTATTAGCGTAGAAAGGGCTTCTTAATATTTGATTCACTTCAGCTCTACCTTTTAAAAACTAGATTTCAGACTTGCCTGACTTTCATTTGCACCTTTGGATGTGAGTGCTAGTCAGTAAATTCTTGACTCTCAGCTGTTAAAGATGCTGTTGTCAATAGATAACCAGGAATCAAGGCTGAAAGTAATTGCTAAAACTGATTCAGTATTGTCAAAGAACAGTCAAATATTAATTGGCAGTTGGTACTGCTGTACTGAATTACTAATTTAGAGACAACTACTTTATTATTTCCTCTCCAAAATGCATGTCATGTGCCACTAGAGATCCCTGTGTTTGGATACCTCAAGGGAATGTGAGCCTGGGGATCCACCTGTATTCAACCAGAGAATTCCCAATATAATTGTTAAATGTTGCATATAGATGCCTAATGATGTCTGTCCCAGTTTCTTTTGATTTCTGCACAGACACAAATGGACACAATGGTGCACTGGATCTCCAGCTCATGTGTTATGTTTCTGTAGCTCTGCCATTGAGTTTGCACAGGACAGGCATTTATTATGTAACTGTTGCACAGGGTACAGCACATTTTTAGAAGTATTGCTGTATCTTAGGAAGGGATATTTGAAAAAGTGTCCAGTGAAGAAAAAACTAAATCTTCCAGAGCTGAATTCTTCAGTGTTCTGAAAGATAAGATATTTCTTAAGTTTTAGGATTTAATGTTCATTTAAACATCAAATTCCTACTCCTTTTCAAAATAGGAGCACACGGAGATTTCTTACCTATGGCCTGTAGATGATTTGTTAGCAATTACTGCTTTATTTCAGGGCATGTGTGGGGAAACAGACGGATGTTTTCATCTTTGGGGCAGTATGTTTTACTTTTTACTGTGTTTATTTTTTCAGTGGCAGTGCAAAGCAGACCTGGAAAATGCCTACCGTTTTGGACAAATGGAAGTGAGCTGTGAAGGCTACGATTACCCAGATGATCCTTACATACTGAGAGGCTCCTGTAGTTTGCTGTTCAAGCTAGAGCTGACTGCAGAAGGTGAAAGGAAAATGAAGAACTCTGGAAACTTTGGCTCTAGCTATTACCAGTCAAGGAAAGATTATTCTGATTTTGGTTCTGGAGCAATTGTTGTAATTGTTCTTCTCGTTCTTGCTTTTGGAGTATACAAGTTCTTCCTCAGCAGCCAGCAGTCTCAGCAGAGTTCTGGGGGCAATGATGGCTTCTCTCGGCCCTTCTGGCAGAGTCAGCAGGCACCTCCTCCTCCTGGTTTTAAGTCCACCTTCACAGGTAGGGCTCTGAGCCATTTACAGTATTCAAACGAGTGAGCAGGATTGTCCTGTTTTATCTGTGGTAAGGGAAGGTGGGATAGAGTTAAACCACAGCATTTGCAGGCAACTGCCCAACTGGCTGCAGAGCCTACGGTCAGCTTTGTATTCTAGAAGGTCTTTGTTCAAAAGAGGAAATAAGAGCTTGGCTTTCCACAGGCTGTTGTGAATAATTATATTTATCCATCCTTCCCAACATCAGGCTTTCAGGGCAGGCTGCCCTTTTGAACCTTTGAAAAACTACCTCCCCATGCTCTGCAAGCATTCTTTTCATCACCTGTGAAATAGCAGGATTGTGACAGGGAGAAAAATTGTCATAGGCAATCTAGAAAAGAGAATGTTCTTACACAGGCAGAAACAAACCCATGCCAAGGGAGCACTCTGAAACTTTACAGAACAGCCTTTCAGCCCTGATTTCATTCACAAAGCAGTTGATGGAGTGAGTATCATGTACCAGTCCTCTGTTTAACAGGGCTCCAGTGTAGTCCTAGCAGCTGAAAGATTTGGTTCCCAGAGCAGAGAACAGTGTCTATGAACAGTTGTTAGAGGGTACAGCATCTGAATCTCATGTGGGGCCTTTCATCTGAAGCTGAAAATTACAAAAGCAGAGACAGGGAAAAGAGGCAATTTTTCTTTTCCCAGAAAACTGGTGACTTCTGTCATATAATAAGTGATCTGCCTTAGGCTGTCATAGTGTCTCAGGGAAATAAACATTACTCATCTGGTGTCTGACTAATTTAACCCTGTAAACATGCAAGCTGCTCACAGCACTGGAACTTAAATTACATTCTTACAAGTTACATAATTTTTTTTCTCTTTTTTTGTTGCTAGAGAAGGGGTTTTGGCAAGAAAATATGTAGCAAGAATTAGGTTTATTAGTTGAAAGTTTATATTTTAATAATGCTTATTAATGCTTTCTCTGAGTTTTGTTCAAATGGCTTGGCCAACAGAGGGTGCAGTATAATTCTTTTGGATTGGGCATGCACAGCAGAAGCTTTCAGCTGTACCTGCACCAGAAAATTAAAGGGAATCTGCTTCTGTTGGCTTTGCAAATTGTTTTGCATGTTTGTGTTGTGTGGGCATCAGTGGCCATATGTGGGCATAGCACTGACTGTACTGTCATGGTCAGTAGGAGCCCTGGCCATGACACACAGCTCTGTCACACTGGGCACAGGAGAAACAATGAAGGGTTATTTAAATTTTTTTTTTCTGTTCAGTTCCGTGTCAGTTAATTGCCCCAATGCATTTTTCTTTGCAGGAGTCACAAATCTAGCAAGGGCAGGGCCTTGAGAATGTTTTCTTGAGGATTGCTGAAAACTGAGACATTTAAAATACACATTGGGAGCCATATAATGCTTAACTTGTGATGTTTTTAATAAGGCATGTCAATGATTTGTCTTTAGATTTCAGGCAAAGTAAGGAGGAAAACTGAAACGTGCAGCCATAATTGTTAGGCTACTTCATACATTCAGTGTCTGCCTTACATTGTGGGAACAGAGCAAAAGCACATCTCTGAATATGTATGTCCATGTGTTCCAGGAATGTATTAGTCTTTGGAAACCTGGACAGTAATGAAAAGCAATGTTGTTCACATATTGCTGTTAATATTTAATTTACCTCATTTTAAATCCCCTTAACATGCAGAATGTGTCCTGTTGGAACTTGTTTAGCTAGACTATCTTAATTAAATTCTGCTTTCTCTCAGTTCTTTGACATGATTTTTAATGTTTGCTCTAGATATTTAAGAAAAAAATTACTCAGTTTTCTGAGTCAGTGTTCAGTCATGGTGCTTTTGAACAAATGGTTAATCTCCGATTAAGATTGTTTTTGCAGCAAATTAAGTAATTTTTTTGTTGTTGTTCCAAATCAGCATAATTTAATGGTATATCATCCCAATGAGAGTTTATATTTCTCCCCACACATTCAAAATTAAATTCAATATCAAATCCAGTCTAGACTGATACTGATTATTTCATTATTGTTTTATATTCTATGACTTCAAACAACCCATATCAGTCTGAAGGCAGAGTAGGCCCTCTAATTTTTACCTATGTCATCTCTGGCCCACTTGTTCAGGTGGGCATGTTTCAGGGAGACCCTAATGCTAATTCAGTCCTTTTTATACTCCCTTATGTGTTAAGCCCATGGTTGAGCTTATTCTTGCATCCATGATATCTTAGACCAGAAAATTATTCTACTTTGGGTTTGTACTTTTTCTTTCTAAATGGAAAACATTCATTCTGGCTCAGAACCTTATGTTAAGTGAAGGTCACATGGCCAAAAATTAGTGGCTCTCATTTCCCCACAACCTACTTGATATGCTTGCAGTTTCATCAAGGTATTTGTCAAGCTTGGCGACTCAAGTATAATGAAAACTTTGCAATGTGGTTGCAGTTAGCTTGGCTTTTGATAACGAGTTCCAGACTAGGATTACCAGGAACAATACCAGTAATGTTAGTGTTACACTGAGCCACTGTGACTCCAGCTGTGCAGCTGTGCTCAGTGAGATTAGGAGCTCTGTGTCTTTGTGGTTTGCTCACTCTGCAGTGTTACCTACTTGATTTGTGTTCCTCCATCTGCTTCTGGCCTGCTCGGTGACCTTCAGCAGATTATTTTTCTTAGTTTCCTTTTCTATTTTTAATCTAACTTGTCTGTTTATAGATCAGCAGGCAGGGCCTCCTTCCATGTTTTGCAAACTCCAGGGTTGTGAGATGAAGTGGAAGCAGATTTTTAACATAAAACTCTTTATAGTGATGTTGGTTTATATGGGGTGTTCTGCTTTCTGAAATGTGAGGCCTTTCAAGTTAAGCTTGATTGAAAATCTGCTGAAATCAGGAGCAGTTTGTTGTCTAATTTTCCATTATCTTTAACAGGAGAGAATTCTGTTGCAACAACTGGCCTGAGGATTAGTCTGTTACTAACTTATTCTTCCTATTTTCATTTTGTTTAAGATGACAACAGCTTTGGAACTCACTCCCATCATGGAACCAGTTCAGGACCAGGATTTTGGACTGGATTAGGAGCAGGAAGCTTGCTAGGCTACTTGGCAGGCAATCACAGGTAAAATATGCATACTATCAGATTTTAAGCATTTAAGCTTTCAGGGGGTATGCCATATGCTATATTGGCAGTAAGATTTCAGATCTGTATCATTCAAATTATAAAATCCTACATGTCATTCAAATTATAAAATCCTACCACTAGAAGAATTTTGAGCAGCTGTTTGTAGCTCCAGGACTAGAGACATTTCAAACATGTTTCTGAGGAGAATTAGAAAGACTGAGATACTTTATTCTGCTTCCTCTGACCTGGCATGATGGCCTGCAAGTTTAAATTGAGCATTTAAACAATTTATCTGCAGAATGCCTTAAAACACACATAGTCATATTAAGCATATAATCATCTATATATGGATCTCTTGTATCAGTGTCATCTTTCCTAAAATAAGTCTGGATGGCCATATTTTATATAGGCTTTTAGACATTTAGAGTGCATAATTTTTAGATTAACAGTTTAAAGAGAGCAGTTGCTGCTATTTTAGGCTTCAATGGAGAAAATATGAGATTCCTGCAGGGAATCTTCAGAACCTAAGCAGTTTTCTCTATTTATTAAAGGACTTGCCTAAGTATCAAGGCGATTCCTGTAGAAATGTAACAGATTAGAGAGTAAGATATATGGACAAGAGTGTATGCTAACCATCTGCCTTGTAAAGCTGTGGGCTATTTTTAATAACAGAAGCCTTATATTAATTCTGCTAAGAATTTTTCTAATGTATAATGTATAATGTGTTAAAGTTTTTATTGACCTGGTATTTCTTAAGGCTTAAATACATGGCTCTTCTGTTGAGGCATTCTATTTATGTAGTATCTACATATGGTTTGTTCCCTGATTTCTATACACACCCCCATATCAGTAGGACAAATTATTGTTCAAGATTAGAGATCTAAGTGAGTAAATCCAAATACATAAACAAGCTTCCTAACCTGGGCTTCTTTTTGCTTAAAACAGTCTTTGGTCCGCTATTATTTAGTTTGGTTTCTTAGGCTGTTGAAATTATGTGCTGCAAAATGCTGGTGCCAGGAAGTGTGAGAGAGCTGTTTGTACATTTCAACAACAGGAAATTCCATATCCATGGAAGCAAGTAATTTTAAGTGACTGAGTCAAAGACCATGATATGTTAGTGTTACTGATATGACCTTTTCAAAAGAGTTAACAAAAGGATATTTTCTCTTGCCAACTATGGCTGGGATGTAGGTGATGCCAAAATGCATTTAAACTTCAGATTTCAAACGTCTTTCTTGTCAAAATTTCAGAAAGAAAAGTTTCCTCATTTGCAATTGTTTAGAATTCCTTATTTTGAAGCTTAATTTCCTTTTGAAAATCTACATATTATGATATCACAGCACTGGATGTCCTTGCTCTCAGTGTGTTAACTACATTAAATAGGAATATTTCCAGCTTTGAAATAAATGCTTACAGTTCTCCCTTGGAGGTGCAGTTCTCTTGTTTGGAGTGGTATCTTCTTATTTTTTCCAAAAGCCACTAATGAAGCCTTCCTTCTACTGTGTTTCATGCCAGAGCACAGCCACATTCCTCTTATCACAGTATGTGGACAGAAACCACAGCTGTACCTCCTATGCATGGGTACTCAAGGAATTCCATAAAAGGCAGCAGTTCAGGAACAAGAACTGCTACTGGTAAGGCAAAACACCTTTCAATTTCTTGAAGCTCAAGAGACTTTGACCTATCAAAAACATGCAGATGTTAATTACAGTTGAACAAGCATCCTTGTTTTATTTTACCACTTAGTGTAGATGGCATGTAACAATGTCCCTTCCTTCTATTCCCTATGGAAGTAGGGCGTGAAATTCCCCACAGGCCTGTGGTAGGCATGGCACCATCAGCATGTGGCTTGTCTTCACTCGCAAGGTGCATTAGTTTAAGGCTTTCCCTTCTGATGAGCACTACACGTACTCTTCTCGAGCAAACGTGCACAGACATGTTCTCTGTAGAATGCAGGTTGTTTAATCTGCAAGTGCAGAATAATTTCCAGGCCAATCAGCCTTCAGTTGCTTGCTGTTCTGCTTCATGTGAATATGTTTATCTCATCTCTATTGCCACCTTTAGCCTTTTTAGAACTAGAGAGTTCAATGGAAAGGCCATGGTAGAGCTGACTTTTTTTTTTTTTTTCAGGCTTTGGGGGCACAAAGCGAAGATGAAATCCTTACATTATTACGTCAGAGTAATTGAATAAGATCCTGTTGTGTACTTGTACTTCTTTTAATAGTAGTATACTTCAGAAGTGGATATGAGGTATGAAGGATTAGGCAAAGAATTCCTCACTTTCTCTGTGAATTCGCACTGCTGTTTAGGGTAACACAGATGTCATCCACTAAGAGAGCATCCACTATTTCAAAACAGCAGTATCTCCTACAGAAAAAGCTCATCCAAGTCAAGAAGAATGATTTACAGTGACTGTGTATCTGTCTGTACTTAAGGCATTATGGCAATGATATCCTTACTAGATTTTCAAAGCATCGATCTTACTACTGTGTTCTGAGCTTCATTTCATTTGGTCCAGAATTCCTGTTAATTTCGTTCCTCTTTACTGGTAGTCCAGCATCTACCTGATATGTAAAGAGTGCTGTTCTTTGAAACTACTTTTGTTTGCCTTTGCAGAATTAATGTGAACTTTACTGTAAGTGCAGTAAATGTTGGAGTTCTTCCTCAGTGGACAAGAGCAAAACTGTGTATAAAGAGATTAACATTAGTATGTTTGTATCTGTGCTATGTGACCGTTGGAGCAAAAATGTGCAGATTCATGGATTCTTCATGTTATAGAGTTTATCCAAGGTAACTGTACAAACCTGGGGGACTTTGTCTATATGTTATTTGGGGTAAAGAAATAAATCTGGAAATCTGGACCTTTTTCTGGAAAACTGAGGTAATTTAAATTCAGATGATTACAGATGTTTTGCCTGCATTGAAGCCACAGATTTTCCTATTAATGGTGGATGTTGGCAATGCTGTGAAAACTTAAAATGTGAATGGTCTGTCCTGCTAGATCACCTGTCCAGGGCACAGTAAACCAAAGGTGCTCATTGCAAAAGGGAAGTGAATATTCTTAATGCAAAGATGATGGAATCTCTGGGGCACAGCAGGCCTTGATACTAAGCTAAGAAAGGAAATTGGATATCTAACAGGATGTAAACTTCCCCAAATGTGCTTTTTAAAAAAATGAAATGCTGTTGAAGAGTGAGAAGCAGAGAGGCCTTGCTTTGTTCTGATATTTTGGGGCCTCTGTGAAGTGTCATACAGTTGACTTCTCTCCTGGAAGAGGCATTGCTGGATGAAAAGCAGAGAAATTTCTCAGGATTGTGTGGAGAGGGGAAGAGTGAAGAATGCTTGATCACCAGTTCTTCTCCAGACCCCCTTCTAACAGTTTAGACGTGTTTGTGTAGGCACAGCTCACGTATGCTGGCAGCAGCCAGAGAAGCATTGTCTTTCAGCCTTGTGAAAATACTGTGTCTGAAAATACTGTGATACCAGCTATTACAGAGAAAGCAAAGCAATGTTCTGCTGATGTTTGCAGCTCCTCAAGTAGATGAAGTAGGTCTGGTTAGTCTAAGAAAGTGACTTCAGCATGACTCAGGGAAAAGCAACCCATGTCCATTCATGAGTATAGAAGGAATTAGTTAATATGTTAACACCCAAGTTTGGTGTATGACTTAAGCAACCAAAAGAGAGAAAATCAAAAAAGAAAAGAAAAAATATACAAGCAAACCAAACCAGCAAATTCCAGAAATCTTTATGGAGCCAACAGCCAAAAAAAATGCTTCATGAGAAAGTTCTTGTACTAAAAGTATTATCAGTTTCATTTGATACTTTCAAAATTACTTGAGGGTGAAATTGTGCTTTGCTTCTCACAACTACCCGAGAGCTGGGGGAAAATAACTGCATTAATAGTCTGCACTGTGAACCTAAAAAGGGAAGTGACAAAGACCTTACTGATGTCCTCTTAGAAGGTTCTACCTTTTATGAGAAGAAGTTCATGGTAAATCTCTTATCTTTATAACAAAGTGTAGCAGAAGAATATACTTTAAATATGGAGTTCTTACTTATTTCTAAGTGTATTCAGGTTAGGCTTGTCATAGTCAGTATTTGCTTTGTCAACTAACTGCATAACAATGAAATTGGATTTTTTTCTAACTGGGTAGTTGGAAGCTGAAGTTTGCTTTTAAATTACAGTATCGTATAAAATGTTTTAGACAATGTTTTCATTTGTATTTATGTATTTATAGTTTCTGCATTAAATGTGCAAAAATATGATACATAAGTCTACTATAGCTTCTGAATCTGTTTGGATATGTTTGCCCTTCCCTCTTATAAAGGAATGAAATAAGTGAATAAGGAGTGTTTTTGTCTTTAAATCACTATCTTGAGGCCTGCAGGGATGGCATTGTCTGTTTTCTCAGAGTTCTCTGTCTCATCATCTACTTCCTGGGTAAATAACATCATATTTTCCCCACGGATGCAAAGTGCGTAAGCTGTATGTTGTTTCAATAAAATAATACAATACTGGGAATAGTTACTGTATTGATTATGTTTTCAGTAGCAAAATACTGAATCCTATAAGAAATTGAAGGCTTTCTTGTAGATCAGGGCTTGGGATCTGAGTCTGCAGAAAAGCTGTTACGTCAGCATGTTCCTCGTTTTACACAGTGGTGAGCTGAGCCCTTCAAAAGAATTTATGGTCATCACTGCTGTTACTGGTTGTGGAGAGAGCAGAATTCTACACAGGGATAGCCTAAGCTCATGTATTGTCTTCTTACACAGAGGATGTGTCACTGCTGAACAAAGACATGGTCTACACAGAGCATGTAATCTTGGCAGGTGTAAACTGGGGTTAAATGGGAGCCTGCAAATTCTGCTGTCAGTGTTTCCTTCAACAAATGCTGATGCTCCTGAGTAAAAGGAACTCGTGGACCACAGTATAGAGCTCATAGTTCTGAGACTTTGAGCTTCCTTCCTGAGCATCAGATCTGGAAGGTCCTAGTCTCCTTTCTAATCCTGGGCAGGGTTCTGGCAGCGTCTTCACAGCAGCTTCATAGTTGTAAGGCATATGTAAATGCTCAAACCATTAAATGCTGTTGTAGGTAGTTACAATTCTATGTGGTACCTGGGACCAGAACTGCTTGTACTCTGACAAGGCTTACATCCTCACACAAAGCTAAAACTCATTGCAGAAACAAAACTCCTGGTTTTACAGCTGACTTCCCATGAAGCATGTGATGAAAAGAAAAAAAAAAATATGGACAGAGATAGGCTTGATAAGCTTTCTTCATGCTGCTCTGTCTTGTGACTCAGCTGCCAGGTCAGATCTTGGCAAGTTCTGTGGAGTGTCATGCTGTGCACCTTGCTCTTTTCCCTGGGTGCCATGTGCGTTTGACTTAGCACCAAGGCAAGACAGTAGGTGGTTGGTTTGAAAAATAAAATTCTTCTATGGTCATCACTTTACATCATTAAGTTCCAAAAAGGGAATTAAGCCAGGTACTGCGATTTTCAGCACTAGGAGTTGTTGCACAGAGAAATTACTGAAGTAAAGTAGCAAGTAATAACTACCTGCCTGCACAGCTGTCTAAAAGCTGAAAATGCAGCACTTGCACAGACTGTTGTCCACTTAGCACTAATTAAAAGTGATGTATTTTTTCTTCATTACTAAAACAAATTTGTATTTTAATTTTAATATTTTCAGAATCCCTATCAACCAGTGATTGTGGTGGAGAAGTAGCCCAGCTGTCTGTGAACTAAGGTGGATGAGCAAGTACACAAAAACATTAAAATCTCACAGCAATGCAATCTGTACCAGCAGACAATGCTCTTGTGTCCTGTCTATTGAAACATAATGTCAGGTCCTTCGTTCTCCTTTCATACCTCCTGGGGCAGCTCGGGGTTGAGTGCTGTGTGGGAGCAGCTCCTTATCACTCGGCATATTTTGCTGAGGCCTTCCTCTGCAGCCAGTCCTTTTGCTTTCCTAATATTGTGTGTAGCTGCAGTATTCTTCACTTTCTGACACCTCCTTTTCTATTGCAGCTGTGACTTGCCAATGCTAACGAAAATAATCAGCAGACTCAGTTTCTGTGGCCTGTATATCTTATCTCCTGCTGTCTTCCATCTTGTGGTTCCCTCTGTTCTAGCTGGGGGTCAATGTTTATTTAGCAAGGAAAGGCTGAGCAGTTGTAGAAAGTGCATTGAGCTGGGAATGGATGGAGTAGATAGCAATGAAGTCAAGGGAGACAACTGTCAGGCTGTGAATTGACCTATGGGCAGTATGTCTGTGGAAAGACTTTTTTTTTAGCTTTTTGTCAGAAAAGCATTTTTGTCAAAAGTACAGTATGACAGCCGGGGATTTGAGCTGGTGAACTGGCAGCAAAGGAGAAGACCTGAAAACATTCTTTCCATCCTAACTTAGGAATGATTAAGACTTGTAGCACCAGGAAGCTGGCCAAGGATGTGCTAGCTCAGCCACTCCACAGTCATGCCATTGCAGATCCTGCAGGTAGATGTATGTTTAAAGATACCAGGTACTTCTAAAAATGCCAAGCAGAAGAAAGGTGACTTGGCCCTGCATCCATGTTTCTTTCCTTCTGCAGTGTGACTTAGAATGAACAGAGAAGGCCAAATGTGGAAAGAGCAGCAAGCAACTATGACAAGGGGTAGCAAGTAGGCCAAAGTGAAGCTTGCAGGGGAAGTCTGTGTCCTAGTATGTCCTGCCTGTTCCCTCTTCTCACACAACAGCAGGAAATAGTAGGCAGTTCTAATAGCTGTTGTATCAGGATTATTTTACTGAATTTTCCTGCATCTCTAAAATTAAGTCCTGCAGGCAATTACCAGTAGTATGAATTGACACCTTTTGCTATCAGCGTCATCTGAGCCATTCCATAATTCAGACTTCAAAGTAGCCACTGTGAAATTTGGAGGAGACAAATCACTGCCTGCTTAAAGACCAGAGTCTCTGTAGTACTGCATAAGGATCTTTTCCTCATTTCCTGCATTTGCCTTGACTTCCCTGGCATCAAGACTTATTCAGTCTTTGCTGTGCAACTTTATTTAGATGTCATTGTGCTCTGAGACTTGGCCTTGAGATTACAGCCCTGACATCATTGTTTCTGTAAGCTTTCTTCTCTGTGCCTCCTGTGTCCTTGTAACCAGCATGTGGGGATATCTTTATTGAGGCAGCACTGGAATTACCAACAATCCAGAATACCTTTTGCTGCTGCTGCCTAATGGGAGTTATTCATCTCCCAGTAAGCTCCTGTGGTCATTTTCATGTCATTTGGCAGCTGTAAACATACCACATCTGCTTAAATGGACAGACAACAATTACAGTTGGGGGGGAAAAAAGGGGGAAAAAAAGTGCAATGAATGCAGATAAAATGTTGTGCTGGAACAAGTTTGCAGAGCTAACCTTCACCATGGGATTACTTTATCAACATTCTTCTCCAGGAGTTAGATGAGTACTTTATTGATGTGAATTTTAAAAATGCCTTCAGTGTCTTCTGTACTGCAAGAGTGGAAGACTTAAAACTGTAACAGGTTTGGTGTTCAACAAAGTCAGACCTGTTCAGGGCTCTTTGTAGTTTGACACACAGCTTGCAAAGAATTGGTAGCAGTAAAAAGGGAGGTTAGGTCAGCATAGGAATTTATGTGGCTTTAGCATAAACAAAAACAAACTGATCTGTGCTGTTTCTGTAACCGAGGTAAAAACAAGCTCCAATCAGTCTGAAGCAGCTCAGAAGGTTGTTCCTATCTTTGCTTTGAGCTGAGATCCTGTTCGGCACAAATTGTCATCTGCTGCTGACAACTACTGTCAGCACTGAAGTCCTCTTTCCCTTAGGTAGGCAAACCCTCTGTCCCCATTCTGACTATTAGAAAATCAGCCACCCCCCCTGGGTCATAGTGCAGTGTGACTCTGAGTTGGCAGGCTTGGGTGGTTAATTCTACATTAACAGGTGGAAGGATTTATTTCCTTTTTAACAAGGAGCTGGGGATTAGGCTGTAAGTGAATGTGTATAGAGCTGAAACATGTGCAAATGTAAGTGATGAGAGGAAGACCATACTTGACTCGGGTAATCCAGTTTTACCTAAGATATTAATACATTCCCTTTAGCCCAGCTGATGCAGCTGCTAAAGAGAAGCTAGTGTTTGGGCAGATACTGACTTTTAAATTGCAAAGCTGCTTTGGACATAACTGAGAAACAGACCTTTCTGCAGCAGCTGAGAGAGAGAAACACAGTGTGAACTCTTCAATGTCCAAGAGCATTCAGCCTGAGGAGGCGAGAACAGGAAGTCCCACATAGAAACCAGTGAGTGTTTCTAGCCTGAACCTGCTACCGAGGCATCTGTGCCTCTCCAGTCTTTGTTTGCTTAAGCACCTGAAAGGCCTTATGGAGCCATGAGTGCTACCACTTAGCCTCAGCTTGGCATATTTCCAAGCGAAGAGGCTGTGGGTGAGAGAAGATTGTTTGATGACCTTTGGACAGCATGTCAGGAGAGGCCCAGGAAGACAGCTGAGCTACAGGAATTTGTCATGCCCTGGAATGACAAATAAATTAAAGGCATGGAACAGTCAGCAGCAGAGACCTTTAGAAAGAGATGTAGAATGCCTTGGTGTAGCCAGTCAGCACACTGGAGGGTGTTCTTGTACACAGCAGGCTGGAGCAGCTGCATCCCATGGTCTGCATGTGGCTTATGAAGATTGTATTGGTTCAGGTGCTGGAGCACTGCTGGCCATTCTCTTGCTCTCCCTCCACATGCACGGCCTGACCGTGCATTTTCACAATCTCCCCAGCTCGGAGATGAGTGCACCTTGAAACACTGGCAATCTGGTTTATGAAACTTTGTACCACAGCACATTCTAAAGGCCAAAACTAAAGATGTAAAGGAAAGGATTGGCTGATTTTGCATAAAAACAATACATCAGCTACATAACATCTTGCTGAAAAATACCTAGAACTTGAATTCCAGAAGGAGAAGGTGTTAATGTTAATACCTCCATCAGAGTCAGGGTACTGGGATAGGCAGAGCTTTCCTCCAAGGCAGTATTACAGCTCTTGCATCATTATCTGTGAGGATAAGGATCTACTTATCCTAGGCACAGCCTCCTAGCACAGAAAGGTAATGCCAACTGAACAATGCTTTGCCCATACTGAAAGAGGAAAAGGATGGATCATACTGGGCAGCGTTTCACCTCCAGTAAGACAAAATCCCCTTCCTGCAGGTCCCCTAGACAAAAGGATCAGTCTGCAAGGATGGATGGGAGGTGGGTTTTCTGGTTCCTTTCTTAACTTGCGGGGAGAGGTTTATTAGCTTAAGATGAGCTGCAGATACTTAAAGGAAAAGGGTGAAAAGGGAGACATTAATAATGAGGGGTTGAGGCTTACCTGTGTGTCAAAGGTGAAAGGCAGCTGTTAATGACAGCTTTTGTTTTGCTTGTTCGGGTTTTTTCCTGGCTTCCCGTTAAGAGAAAAAAAAATGGGGACAAGAAGAAAGTAATTTTCTCTGCGTAGAGCACTACATTTTCCA